TACACATTAATCTTTTAGAAATCATTTAAAACCTTTTATAAATATTGCTAGCTTTCAGGGAATATAAGATTGGAAAGCTATAATGACTCGACAACAATGACTTGGAAGCTCATTTTTGTGATTTGTGTCGTATTGTTGGGACATGATTTACCTGCATAAAAATCTGTTATAATTGTCAAATTAGTGTTGATATTTCTTTGAAAATATTTAGTTTTTGCACCAAATATTTTAAGATTTGTAATGAGTAGGGTTGGGCAGTTTTTAAATACTGGATATAAAATACATATTTTAAATAATCTTGAATGACTGTTTTCTTTTGCAGGTTTTATATATTCGCCAACTACGCCAATTCGCTCTAATTTTTTGTCAGAAAAATTAGTCGTTTTTGAGGAAATTCCATTTCTTTGTGTTAGACTTATTTTCGATATCATTTTATATTAGAAAATGTTTACACATATGGTTACAATACATTATAATATTTATTGTTCAGAAATTTGTATGACTCTCTGCTAAATCTCTCTCTGCAACTCTGCAAAACAACAAAGTCTGAAGGCGCTTTTTAGAGGATCGGGATGGAAACGCGCAAGTCGGCAACACCGTGTGCGAACGCGCTTCATTCAAATCGAGCGACATGTTTCTTCATAAGAGTTCTTATACTTCCCTCGGTGTACTTGGAGCAATGGAAAGACGCTCACTCCTAGAAAGTCTTACTTTTGATATTAACTAATTATTCATCAAAGCTGAAATTTGATGGATATAATACAAATATAAATTTTGCTGGATATAAATTACAACTTTTTGAAAATCAGGGTTTTCAACGAAAATGAGACCTGCCCTATGAACATAAATGCCCTCCATACTATCGAACAAAAAAATTTAATCAAAAACGTTCGAGCTATTTTTTGTTTTGAAAATGTCCCAGCGGCTTCACGTAAAGGAAAAGGAATAGCTAAAATTACAAATGATTAAACATTAATTCATTTTTATAATTTATTTTAAAGATTCAATTACATAACTAGTATAAATAATATTACACAACAATTACCACAGTTTACTGTAACAGTTGCAAATCTCTAATAGGAGGAGAATTCATCCGTTTGACTATGAATTAAGGAAAACTGCACGAAAAAACTATTGAAATGGGGTCCCCACACCTAGAAGTTACAATGATATTTAAAAAATAATTGTAATTTTAATATGATAATAAATTAAAAACTACTGATGTTACACATTTGCACAGACTTTCCCGTATGATTTCTATTTCCTTTGGTCTCGGCTAGCTATTCGAACTTGCCACATACTCTTGCCTGCTACCATCTATCGCCGCCCAAAATACGTTTTTTGGAAATTGTCGTAATTTTTCGGTTTACTAAAAATAGAACGGAAATATTATTTTACGAATATTAATATGAGGCTGTTTTTAAGAAAATTATTTAAAAATATGTGGCCGTTTTTAAGAAAATGGCACTTAAGCAGTACAGTATTTTCGAAATTTGAAGCACTTTTACAAAGAAAAGTTTTGAGTTTCCGAAAAACTTCATTAGAAGTAAAGCCTCTTTGTATATTTTTTAAATACCTGGAAATGAATTTTTTGTCGTATTAAAGAGTGCAATTAATACTCGGAAAGTTTGAAGAAAACATTGAAGCCTTTTTCGAGAAAATGGCGTTTGAGCGTTTCTGAAATTTTGAGCTAGTTTTGACAGAAAACGGTTGAGTTTTCGAGAAGCTTTATCTGACATTATTTAAAGCACATGTACTCATAAATATAATAATGTGAGCAAAACAATATCAATGCAAATATTAACGACTTGATAAACAAGCCCAAAAACATTTTGTAATTTGTGAAGAAAACAGAAGAATAGAATAATATGTTGTTTATGTCATCTCATAGAGTGCAATAAGCACAATCCCTACTAAAAGTTTAAAGAAAAAATTAAAGCGGTTGTAAGAAAATCTTGTTTTTGTATTTTTTTTTAAATTGCACAAATTGCACACAATTTTGCGAGAAACGACTAAACTTTTGAAAATAATGTACGTGACCTTAATGAAAGAAAAAATCTATATTTTTTGTTGCAATAAGACTGAAAATAATTCAAACTTTTAAAATTTTCAAAAATTCAGAGTTAACCGTGAGAATCGGCCCTTTGCCACATTTATAAGTGCATTTTACTCTATCCTTATAAGAAATTTAAAGTAAAAATTTGGAGCCATTTTTGAGAAAAATTGAAAATGTTCCAGAGTCTTCATGTAAAGTACCCTAATAAACGAATGAATGGTTTCAAACTCACAGAGCTTTGACTCAGGCCTAATGGAAAGGCGTTTCTCCAATTTGGAAAAAATCCTTCGCATGGTTTAGGCGCCAGTGTTGTTCACATACACTAGACGGACAGACGGACGGACAGACGGACGGTCAGACGGACGGACAGACGGACGGACAGACGGACGGACAGACGGACGGACAGAGGGACGGACAGAGGGACGGTCGGACAGAGGGACGTGCAGAGGGATGGGCAGAGGGACGAACGGACAGAGGGACGGACGGACAGAGGGACTGACGGACAGAGGGAGGGACGGACGGACAGAGGGACGAACGGACAGAGGGACGGACGGACAGAGGGACGGACGGACAGGGGGCCGGACGGACAGAGGGACGGACGGACAGAGGGACGGACGAACAGAGGGACGGACGGACAGAGGGACGGACGGACAGAGGGACGGTCGGACAGAGGGGCGGACGGACAGAGGGACGGTCGGACAGAAGGACGGACGGACAGAGGGACGGTCGGACAGAGAGACGGACGGACAGAGGGACGGACGGTAAGAAGGGACCGGACGGAACAGAGGGACCGGACGGGACAGACGGACGGCGTTTAAAAACAGGCGGCCGAGTGGGAAGCTGGCGCGTGGGAAGGGCCCTAAGGGCCTTCCATTAGGGCGCTTCCAGTGCTCAGCGTAATGCGCTTCCTTCGTCAACAAGGGTACAGAGCAGGTAAAGGCGACGGGCGCAGTGGGAAGGCTTCTCATTTAAGGGCCCTTCACGGGGCGGGCGGCGTGTTCCAGGCAGCGTGGGCGTAGCAGAGCAATTGGGTTTTGAATGGAGCGGTTCTCCACGTGCCGCGAGTGGCGGTGTGCGGCTAGCGACGCCGAATAGTACGCGACGAGCGGAGGAGGGGGCATGTGTGTGCGACGGCTGAGAACAACAGCTTTAAATGGGCGCTTCCACTCGCGCTGCGCAGCGTTGTACCTGTTCCGGTTTTGTTCGTTACGGTCGCGGAGGTTCGGGCGGAAACCTACCCTCAGACCCCAGCCCTTCCAACGGCGGGGGCGGTGCGGGGCGTGGTTTCAGGCGGTGCTGCGTCGGAGGGCTCTGCTTTCCTTGAAGGAAGGCGCCGCGGGTTGCGGCGTGGGATAGGCGCCCTTTACGATCAAGCAACTGAGAAATGGATTTCCAATAACGCAGGAAAAATTGTTACGCACTATGAGGTCATCGAACTCTTGGGTAAAACGTATGTCAGGGCAGCAACTATAAATAATACGAAGAACGGATTTCACGGGTATTTACACTTTTGATGGTGGGGTCTTTACAGAATCCCACTTCATGGAAGAAAAGAACAATAGCCGATCAAGTCCGGCTGATAGAGGGCCGGAATTGATGCACTTTGTCAACCAGTCAGTGATGACAGGCTAGCCATGCAGATGGTTAGTGAACATAAGCAGAATGCAGGAAAACAAACCTCATCACCATCTGATTCAATAGCTGATGCTATGGTTAATGTGATCACGGTATCACCTCAGGATATGAGAACGGTACTCCAAAGAAAACCACGTTTACAAAAATGAAAGGGCGGGGAGAGTGTAGTTTTAACCAGCTGTCCATACAAGAGAAAGCTGGAAAACTTTATTCTGAAAATCAAAATAATTGACAAAAATGTCCTAAGCCATCAACCAGTGTAAAACCAAGAAAGATACTTGTTGTTATCAAGAAGAAAAAACAAGCCAATAAAAAACAAAAAAAAAATATTATCTTCTGATTGTGAAAGTGATCATCCTCTAGGCTCAGGCAGTGATAATGACGAAAATATATGTGATATGGAATCGATGAACGCCATTTGTACATTCTGCAATACCGCATTCATTGTAGAATATAAGCGGCATACCGCTTTCGTTGTGTAAGCCAGAAAACAATTTTTACTTCAGATCTGTTTTTGAAATGGGTATAAATTAGGATGTAAGTAGTTATTACGAAATCTCCGGACCTATAAGATGTGTAGTATAGAGGAGGGGACAAGAGTCTGAATTTTTGATTTTACAAAACTATTCTGAACGATGGCATCGTCTTTCCTTTCTCTCGAACATTTTGAATTTTATTTGAAGTGGGGCTATTGAAATTTGATAACTATACTTCAATTTAATATGAATCGATTTTTTATGACACAATAACAGTTGAATACGTGTCAATGAATCAATGAACAATGAATGTTAGAAGTTCTGGAGAGCTTTTGTGCCAAATCAATAGATAAAATGTTGTATTTGCGAACGATGGAGTGTGTACGTGTAACGACACCCATAGCTGAAAATACATTTACTATAAGCACATTAAGATAAGTGGATCAGCTGAATTACTCGCTGTCTCCACAGCGTTAGTGCTATTCCCGTTCAAATGTCACTTACATCAGTTTTCGAAAATCTCGCGGCCTGTAGAGATTTGATCCACGATCATTGCTATTGGTACGCCAGACTCTTACCGCTTCCGCTACAACGACTAGCCATTTGTAATTTGACTGTTAATGAAACTTACAGCAACTCTATGTTCAGAAGTTAACGGGTTAAGTTTGTGTTATTAATAACTCGTTTGTTTTATGCATAAATAAGTACAAAAGTGTTCTCACAAATTCTGAGATAAATTTTGCAATTCGACTCTCGAGCGCGTTGTCCATTTTCTCACTCCCTCAGCGCGCGCAACCTACCAACAACATTCGATTACACTGATAGTTCCATAAATGGCCACTAGATGGTGGCGGTGTCGTGAGCTGGCGCTCGGAGCGCGCGCTGTCCCAGTGATCTGTGACGACGAGGCCGCGGGCCGGCGGTGCTCGCCTGGTGATTGTGTCGAGCCGGTGGCCGAGGTGCATCCGGAGACGATTACGCCAAGGAGACTGCCGCCGCCACCCCGTTCATTCGCGTGTCGTCTCGCGAGCTCAGCAGGTAAAGGCCGTCGACGCGCTTGCGAACTTTCTGCGTTCCTCCTCCGTATCGATCCGCGTGTCTCGACCACGTGTTCTAACGATAGAGCGGTGACATTTCACTTTCGCACACCTGTTTTGCATCGGTCACTTGCTGTTACTGTGTTGCGGGAAAACGGAAACTCTTGTCCCACTTTTAATGACCGAGATGCTGGGCTTTAGTTCGCGCAGAGCTATGTTGACAGAATGATGTGGGTGGTCAGTTCTGAGAAGAGATTCTTCACTTATCATGACCTTTCCCAGCATATTTACCTGAAGGATGCGAGTTCCAGAATGTTGTTTTATGCACTTTGAACATAACAGGCTTCATGGCAATTACTGCTGATGAGTTATATTATTATTGGCCCAGATGTGCAGAATTCGGGTGGCGCAGCAGCTGATCGATAAATTCGGGAAAATAGAGTGGGTAACGAAATCCGATTTGATTGTTGCGTGTGCAAGCCCGACTATGCACAGAATTTTGTTTTGAACCCAGTAAGTCATTCACAATGACTCATTTCACTCATCATGAACTAACAAATTCATACGTATACGTGCTAAAGAATTAATATCCTACACTGAATTGCTGCCTAGTAGGTCACATTAGCTAGTAAGAAAAGTCATCATCAGTTTTTTAAACTTATTTGAAGCTTTACTCTCAGAAAGATTATTTTTCCGTATTCCTATCACATTCTTATTCATGTTATTTTTATGCACTGGTTTCAGCATTATCTGCATGGACATCCACACTAACGCTTGCATGCTCCGAACTACGGACTTTCATCTCGTCTGATTTTGCATGTCCTAAGTAAAATAAAAAAGGTAATGTGATGTGCCTGCCTGAATATTTGCATGAAGAATAGAGTGAATGAAGAAACCGGGGAAAGCACGCTATTGTAAATGTGAAAGTTACGCACCTGCAGAGCAATAAACACAGCACAGAGTCGCTCGCAGGTGAATTTCCTGAAAAATGTGCCTATTTCTGCACGACACCTCATCATATGCCAATAACTCACATCCTACATAATTTCTTATCATGTCAAAGTTTCACATTTGATATGTATTATTCTACAGTTAAATATAATATTGAAATAAAAATGAACAAACTTTTTACCTTTCCCCCAAAAATTGAAGTCTTTCTTATATAAATGTGTATTAGAAATGTAGAATCAAAAATTAAAAATTGCACAGTTCTCCATTTAAATTTCAAAATAATCATACAATTTGGTTATTTGGTTATCTAGTTTTGAGATATTTGTCGCACTCCCGATTTTTACCATGAGCTTTTACTTTAATGTTGGAGATAAATTATCGTAGATTTAATCACAGGTATCTCCTGTCGGAAATCAAATTTGTAGTCCGCAGGATAAACTGTTCACGAAGTATAAAACTTGATAGTGTATTCAAAGGACTCTGTTTACTGTTAGATGATGATTTCCATTTTGAGAAATATTGTACCTAGTGATTTTTCTTTGAAAGGAATGCGTGTTATTTTTCTGCCCGTCAATGCGGTTTGCTTCGTAATATTCTCAGCTTCAATGGCTAGTAAGAGTTTACAACATATCAACATATTCCTGAGAAAAGGGGGGTTCGTTGATAATCCTCGTATAAATTTATCATTTCTAATATCTAGAATGCGTATAAGGAAACTTTCATTCTGGTCTTGTCACTAATCAAATCAGCTTGCCTAAGGGTCCCTGCAGTAGTGTAACGAAATTATTGCGGATCCTCCCGCAAAACCTTTATCCGGGCCCCCTTTATAAAAGCGTATAACAAACCCAAGTAGTGTTAGTACCTTAAATAATTAAAATACCCTTTAACAAATTCGAATTCTTCGGTCTATAATTAATTCCCAATAGTAGAAAAATCACCCTTTATTATTTAATTTTATGAAATGAAGATTGTTCTGAAACTTAACTGAAATACTTATATTTATTGATTTAGAATCATTTAATTAGAATTTACAGGGTTACATAAACTACCGAAGCTGAAAAATTCTCTCTTCTGGAAGATGCCGTTTTTAATATTTTTTGTTAATACTGTCGCAAATTATCATAGAAAAAATCAAGTAATTAATGTGTCTTACAATCGCAAAACCTTCAGGCGAAATATAGGCCCTCTTTTACCTGGGCCCGCTCAGGCATTTCGGGCCTTGCGAGGCGATTGTCACGCCACTGGGTCCAAGAAGTGTATAGACGATCATGCCAGGATGTAAAAGAAGCATAATTATTTTCTTCACAATGTTCAATGACTATTTTTTTTTTCGCCAGAAGAAAATGTTAAAAAGTGAATGTATTACAAATTTAATAGGAAATCCTGCAAATATCCTTCTACAACTCTTCACTCTTTTTCACAACGTAAACTTGAACGACGTGAGAGATACTTCCAAAAAAATACATATATGTAATATTTAAAAAGTCAAAAGAATACACACAATACAATATACACACAAGAAGTCACACAATATGGCGTTTATGTCGTGTTAATCAGTGCATGTAGTACTATCCGTTCTAAATGTTTAAAGAAAACATTTGGATTCGTTTTTGAGCCCAAAGCTACTAACATTAAAAACAAAGATTATGAAATTAATTAAATAACTAATTATTCAGGATAAATTTCATTCGAAGAAAAAATTGCTATCTTTAATATAGAAATTATAGGAAGACATCCTAAAATTTTCAAACATTCCCAAGTTTTAAAGATTCAGAGTTAACAGTGAAAATCGAACCTGTGCCATCTTTATAACTGTATTTCACTCTTATTTTTAAAGGGAATTTAAAGACAAAATGTGGGTCTGTTTATGAGAACATTTTGAAAATGCCCTATGAGCGTCTGTAAAGTACCGCCAAAATTCAATTAATTATTTTCAAAATTGCAGAAATTCGAGTAGGGACATATATATTTGGGAATATTCATTTTGGCAAAAATCATTCAAATAGGTTAGGTGCTCGTGTCTGGATTCTGTCTGTGGGCAAGTCATTGGACGGTAGAACGTAGGTACGGACATTTTCAGAGAAATAGCTTTTCGATATTAAGGAAGCAAAAAACGTGGATTATGACTACACTAAGTAAAGAGTGTTTTTCTGCCGAAAAAACTCACTTTCCGACGCAACGTTACATAACTATCTCATTACTACGTATATTAGTTCATATATGAGGAACTAAAAAATGTTTCATACGATGTTTTAACTATAATCTCAACTTAACAATTATATATCAAGATCGCCTTCGCGTCATTCCCTCAAAAATTCTTCTATCTTTATTATTGGGTGTAGCCAGCATCATCTACATCTACACACAGGCGTAGCCTACGACATATGTTTGTCTATTCAAACAGGAGTGGGATAATTACTAGACTCTGATTTGATGAAACTCACTCTACCGTAGCAGATGTAAATGAAAATTAGTCTAGCGCACATCTGTATTTATGATACTAACAAGAGTATAATTTTTTGCAGAAAGTTAACGATCCTTTGGTTACTACGCTCTCACATTCGACGATCTAATGTCCGTACACCCTCTACAGCATTCAGAAGACATTTCACGTACTGCGTTCACGATACAGACATATCAAATTCTCTGCATTTATGGGAGGATGTGTGATGTACACCCTCAAAATCATTTTGACGCTTTACAAAAGATGCATACTTATGCACTTCAATTTAAAAAAGCGATTTATAGGGAAGTCAAATTTACCGCCTTCTCGCTTTTGAAATCGCTGCCATTACACTGACAATAGCACCACCACGTGGCTGGATGATAATTTGTGAAAACAAAAAATAAGGTTTGCTCCATGCTATTGAAGCCGCTACGAACAAACTCTTGAGATCTTCGGTGAAATTTTACACGGTAATGTGGAAATAAGCCTGTACTTCCGAAACAATTGTTTTGGTCACGTCATCGTAAGATGACATTGTCATTTGCGTTTCTGTAGCTATCTTTTCAAGTGGAACGTCATTATTTCATATCTGAAGTTCTTGTTGAATAATTTTATGGTTTTTCACTATACTAACCTTCGTAAATCGGCTGCAATCTTCAGAGAAAGGTATTGTATCGCAGTTGAAAACGACGCTATATTCACGCGACTTTTTAGTGTTTACATACCATCGGCTACTACGATATAAAAGCCCACTTAAACACAATGAATATTCACTATCACTTGAACACAATGCGTATTCACTATTTCAGCTGAGGCATAGAATCTGGAGTACCCTGGCTTTATTATGTGAGGAAGCAAAATAGGTTACCAGTGTTAAATTGAAGTAAACTATTACAAGATAATTAATATTTACTTACCGACCTTACATCTAGCACCGACATATAAAATATGAAGTCCTTATTTTGGGTTAAATATTTTCATTTTGTCTGTTATTTCGTGTCTCCACGTAGATAAAATTCAAGTGGTGTGAACGAAGAAAAGATCTCGTGTATTTCCAAGCGAGATAAGAAGTCGATTCTTCTTGGCGATTCTTTTTGACGATTCTCTCGTTGAAACCATAAAACTTAACATGTGGCTTCGTAATCAGTTGTCAGTAGGGGAAGCCTCACCTGATTCTCCCTTTACTTCTTCTTTATAAAGTTTTACCGTTCCATCAACACGCCCATAAAGAACTTCAAGCTTCTGAAACTAAATCGAGCTCGTAGAATCTGCCTTGCTTTGTTACCACGTCACAACACACTTCATAGTAAATCATTCACATTTAGCTATCCGAGCCATGATAAATTACAGCGGACAAATTTAAAATACTTTCCGGCAAATTTCAAGAGGAATTAACCACATGGGAAGAATAAGGCATATAGAACCGGCTTAAGTCTTTTCAATCTCCAGACTTTCCCACTTCCCATCAGCACCGTCGCCGCCCCCGTTAAAGCACCTCTATTTCCCCTCTATTATTCTCAATATCTACCCCATACCTCATTGCTCTATCTTTATTTCCATTCTCTACACTTAAAATTATGATGCTATATTATTTTCTGTGTCTACTAATAAATTGTTTAAAAATAATACAAAAATTTAATGACGTTCCAGATAAATATACTTGTAGCTATTTTTAACCATCATCAGATATTCACACACATCACAATTATTGCATAACAAAATAGATGTTAAGATACCCGCACTCTTTGTATGTTCTTATTACTGCCAGTATTTGTTTTAAAATTATGTTGTTATTAGCTTATAGTGTATTTCTTCTCTGGGGGTAAAATTATTGTATATTTATGTAAGTGTACTGCTAACTAAACCGTAGTTTCTATAAGATCCTCAAATAACTTTTTCGCACAATACTTTTTTTCGTCTTTTTCTTCGCTTTTTTTCTTTTCCCCTCCGTCAGCAAATTTTATCATTATACTTTTTACCCCCTTCCGTACGTCTTTTCTTTTCTTTTACGAAATCCCTTTCACTATCAGTATAACATAGTCAGTCCTATTATGTCTGCGCCTAATCCATCCTGATTAGGTTTTCTGGGTTACTCAATCGCTTAAGCGTATGGGATGCCCTAAGATTTGTTCTCCCAGATGTAAATCGTACAGCTGTTCCTCCCCTCTTAAAATGTTTACTATTTAAATGTATGTAAATCACTGGTTGACACGAAGAACAGGCCCTATGGCCTGAGACTTGCCATTAATAAAAACATATAATTATTATTATTATTATTATTATTATTATTATTATTATTATTATTATTATTATTCTCGTAAGAAAGAGTGATGTTACAACAACATATAATTTCTCACATTATTTGTAACTTACAAATTCAGAGATATCAACAAAAAGTCGACTTGCCTCATTTTTATAAGCGTTTTTAATCGCTGTACGTAAAAAAAATAATGTCATTATTTGTAGTCATTTTTGTGAAGATCTTGTTTTTAAAATTGCCTTTGTTTCACGCAAAATTACAGAAAAAAACTATTTACAATATTGTACATGGACGCATTGAAAGATCTTATTTTGA